TTTTTCTTTCATTTGCACATCAAGGAGACACCCGTGTAAAAAAACAACATAAACAAAGACCTATAACTTCCAAAGTGAAAGAGATGAAATGTCTAAATGTTTTTCAACTTTGATGGTAAAGTCATACAATAGTACAAGCTACTTACAGCAGATTTATAAATGTTTTTCAATCCAGTAATTACAAAGGGTCAAAGAGTACTTGAAATATATTTCAATTGCTTGAAAATTAAATCAGTTAACAATTAAAAACAAGAAAGGGATAAACTATATAGGACCAATACTATTAGTAGATGACATAATAATACACAGTATTGGGAAATATAATGGAAATGAACAGGTGATAATACACACTCACTAGACGCGAACAATAACTAGTTGCAACCAAATGGTCAGTTTGCCATTAGTGACTGAATATTATTGCATAAAATATAAAAGTGAAGCAAAAATGTTGCACAATGCACTAGTATTTCATATTTCCTTCAAACAGAGCAGTGCATCTTTTTTTACGCTACCATAAGGTTGCCAATAGACGATTTTGAAACATTGTTCCAAATCCGTTGTATTACTTGTCTTAATTTTGCCATGTTTTGGTTGCCATTTGCCCTTCTCAATTTACATATATGCTCATATAGTCTCAATACAATCATATCAAGACTTGCAGGTGAAGTCGTAGTTGTGAGTGTTTAATCAAACACTTTTTTTCTTCCAGGTCTTATTTTACCACATTTAATGCGTTAGGATCATTATCTTGATAGCAGATGGATCAGGGTGCCATCAATTTTGTGCAGGTCTCCACTATCACTAGATGAGATACTATAGTATATAAATATACCATACAGCCCTACCTTCATATTTTGATATTGTGTTATTCTTAATGTATCATTTATTCTTTATTTATGCAGATTTCGCATAACAGGTAGTTAAGAAAGTTGTTAAATTGGTTTGTTATAGCTGCCTTTGTGTATTGTCATTCTATTGAAGTCATACCTGTTCTGTCCACAGACGAATGGCTGTAATGCTGGATATTGTGCAAAAAGGCCGAAACGTGATGTTCTCCAATGGTATTTCAGGCGGTATCTCGAGGTTACACCCCATGCTTGAATGATAGTGACCAGTCATATTAATAGCGATAGTCACTGTGGGTAAATCCCGCGTTATCTGCAATGTAAGGAATGTCAGATTTGAATGGTTTGGTAGATAATTTCAGCTTGATCAGTGGAAGTGACCATCCCGAATTTAATAGCAACGAATACACTCATTTTGTTTTTGGTTTGAATAAAGATTGTTCATTTTGTGCATTATTTTGTGTCTAGTCTTTTCCTTTCTTAGACTCAGAGGTTCAAAGATTCAATACTATTTTGTAATAAATATCTTGTCAAACTTCCTGTTCAGTGGACCCATCCTACTGCTCTAAAGTTGATTCAGTTCGACCTGAATATAACATAATGCAGCCCACACATGGTTCTAGCATGGTTCTAGTCTCTGCCATCAAACAAATTGTTATGAGTTGTAAAAACTATTTTGATTTAGAAGTTTCTTGAAAGAACATTCTCCTCCGGTTTTGCTCAGTCTCTTGTTTGAAGTCCGATGTTATTTTCAGCCTTTTGGTATGATTATTGCTACAAAACAACTCCAACATATTGAAGCCACCTATAGTACTATTGGTATCTTGTTGTTACGGATGTAACATTTATACTTGTACCTACAGCTATGTCATGACAAGAGCTTTACTGGTTTGTTGGGTATTATGTAAAGAGCATACTCTGAGTTACTTACCATCATTTTTGAAGACTTTGAATTTTCTATTTCGACCACTTCTATTATCAGACAATCATATCGTAAACAGTTAACATGCGTTTGTATGTTGCAGCTTATTTTCATACAATCACAGAACACCTCTACTAGAAACACCAATAACAGCACTTTCAACACAAAAACAAGCACAGCCAAATACACAACCAAACACATTTCCTTTTCAACCTGTAAATCAACATAACTCACAACCCACAACAGTAAACTAACAATTTCTCTTCACTGCCACCACACCAACCATACATACGCATCAGTCACATCACATATCACAAAGAAACCTGAAGACACACACAAACAGAAGAACATAATGGATATAGGCAACTACACCGTCAATATTGTTACGACAGCGGAAGTCACGTGACGCTGGTAACACGTAATGTGTATCTCGAACGTTCCTGAAGGCTCGAGTGTTTGCTAGACACACGCTCTATTTTGTATATATAAGACCAGCGAGAAGATAATTGAATTGCAGACAGGCAGAGACAGAGACGGACAATTGAGGCAAGTGCGGTAGTGACGCAAGTAAAGTGCGCGAATCGTGGTGAATTATAGCGTGTTTTTAAGTTAAAATGACTGTGGAAATTAAGTATACTGCAAAGTTGTATTGAGAAAGAATAAACTAGTTTTATTTAAGAAAGGACTTGTATCGCTAAAGTTTCATCGGAAAGAAATTATACGGAAAATTAAGAAACGACCAGAGAGTAACAATATGTTAGCTTTCCTCACAGACCTCTCACAATGGATTATTAGAACGTATATGCACTACAGCAAGAATATTACTTTAGCCTACCTAATCTTCGACCACATCACACCACACTATGCATACAAACACGTAAGCGAAAAACACAGAGTTCGTAAAAACATTAAGATATTACATTTAAACATCCAAGGCGGAATGAACACCAAACAAATTGAAGTTCCAGGGCTAAACAGAGACGCTGGAGCAGACATAATAATCATTTCAGAAACATTAGCAAGACAACATAGAAACGTAAACATTCCATGATTCAAGTTATACTCTACACCAGCTACAGCAAATACTAGAGCGATAGATATCTACATTAACAACCACTTATCAAAATTTGCAAGTATTGACCAAGACTTTATTTCAAATATAAACGAAAACAAAACCTGTAATATTCACTTTAACAACACAAATAATACTTCAAAAGTTACCATATACTGTTCTTCCTCAAACAACCTACACATCAATTTCTATAAGCATGCATGAACAAGCACCAAAAACCCATGATTATAAGATATTTCAACGCTCCCCACATAGATTATCACAACAGTCGAACCGACCAGAGAGATAAAACTTTACATTCACTAATTGAAAACAACAACATGCATGTCATAAACAGTAACTCACCAACACGATATAACTCGGCTAACGATACATACGAAGTATTAGACGTCTTAGACTATGTAATAATCCCTTGATACTTCGAGGTCCATCCGCAGATTTCTAGGGACCACTTCTCCCGTTTCTTTCACACTACAAACTAACAGCCAAACACAACAACAAAACCTCCCGCCAATTTTCAATTACAATATCGAAAACCGCACAGAGCTTGAACGTGTACGCCATCCAAATTATCAACGCCATTACCACAGCCACTAACACTGTAATACATTTGTCTGAACGTTTTCGTAGACTTTCATAAAGCCTTTGATAGTGTTTGGCATAATGCCATATTAATCCAACAATAACAAGATGGATCTCAAACTTTTTAACTGAACGTAAAGCTGCAGTATAAATAAAAACACTATCTTGAAAATCTTTAATATCACAGCAGGAGTACAGCAAAGCTTTGTCATGCTACCTCTCCTATATATTATCTTTGTTAACAATAACTCCTTTCCTGAATTAACATACACATACTCCTCCTAATTTGCCGACGGCATTGCTGTCCAGAGTATCTCCAGAAGTCCATTAATTACGTTAAAACGATGTTATAATAAAATGGTGTAGAAATTGGCGGGTCCTTCTAAATACACTTAAAACACAAGCCATAATCTTTCATCATAGCTTAAACAACAAAAAAAAAAACTTGACAGTACAGATATTAAAATAAATACTTGTGCTAAACTTCTGGGCGCAATCTTTGACAGGAAACTAACATGGCTAGAATGCATAAGTAAAATACATGAATCAGTCAGTAAACGAATTAAGTAATCATTTAACACTTATTACTGGTCAAAATAAAAAATGCTCATCTGAGACAATCCTCAAAATATATAAAACATACATACGTTCAGACATAGAATACGGGTGCCAAGTCGCTTACATGTCAAACAGAACTCTCAACAAACTACAAGTTCAACAGAATATAGTACTAAAACTAATCCTAAGTCTGCCAAGCTACACCCTACCAAATACCTACACGAAGCAAGCAACACCCTTCCACTTAGAGAAAGACTGTACAAACTAGCATACAAATATTAAAAGAAAACGGAAGCAAGAAATCCTCTCACGGCATCATTACAAACTATCACCAGTGCGTCCCAAAATTGCTATCCCCAATTGCTAAAACAATCAGATCACTAAAACAACAGCAGTGAAATAAGAAGCCCATTTTTGTTCATATTCAATTATCATTTTATGTTAATTATCATTTCATTTTTTTGCCTTTCAGTCTGAGCACAGGACAAGTTAAAAAATTCAGACCTTATCCCTTGAAAGTGGGTTTTCTCTGGGTACTCCCGTTTTACCTACAACAAATTTTTGAGGTATAGGTTTGTTTGTTATGAATTTCGCGCAAAGCTACACGAGCGCTACCTGCGCTAGCCGTCCCTAATTTAACAGTGTAAGACTAGAGGGAAGGCAGCTAGTTATCACCACCCACCGCAAACACTTGGGCTGCTCTTTTTACGAACGAATAATGGGATTGTCCGTACATTATTACGCCCCACGGCTGAAAGGACGAACATGTTTGGTGTGACGGGAATTCGAACCCGCGTCCCGCAGATTGCGTGTCGGGCTTCTAACCATTTGACCATACAGGGCCTTGAGGCATAGGAGTTATAGCCCCTGGACACCCTGATTAGGTGCCGTTTATTTCTTCTTAACCTTAATTCCATGATCTGACCAAATTTATAGTCAAAATTATCTTCTAAGCTGGATGTTTTGATGGCATGCCTCTTCCTTAACCAACAACTCATGTCGTGACAAGTTCACCATTCGCCATACAAGCTGACGCCATGAATTCGCCTTCTTTGCCTCGTTCAATCAGTATCATAATTTTTCTCGAACAACCTAGTTAGGAGAACTCGCCTTTGACGAACTGTCACGAAATTTAAATTATTATTTATAATGCTAATTTATTTTAAATGCACATTCATGTCTTAATTTTAAGTTAATAATTTACTACTAAGATTTCAAAACAACGCACGTGCAGAGACAGAAAAATCTAAAATAAAGTATTAAGACGTTACGTTTCCAGATAACAACGTTATAAACAAAATGCATAAAATAGAATAATTATAGGATATATATCTAAAACACACGCCCATCTGATTTATATTATTTATAAAGAACTAAGTAATGGAAAAAATATATATTTCTTTCAATTCTAGTAACATTTATGAAGAGTAGAAATAATTTTAAATAAAAACAGAGTAGAAAAAAGTTATCTGTTCTCAACCGCCGTCTACGATGAAATAGCTGGCGCCAAATTCATAACGCTTGTGCTCTCTTCGGTTTGTAATTTTATGAGAAAAATGAACAGAAGTGCTTCATTTGTTTTTGGAATCTGGTGGGGTTTCGTCCATTTAATTGCACTATATTTGAAGTATAAAACTCTCTGAATCTAAATTAGGTATGTTTCATTATTTGAATTTGTTAGAACATTTTTATAAACTAGTTTTAGTGTACTACTTGTATTATAACATTAATTTAATGATTAATGGAAAATACAAAAACTCGAACGACGTTGCTATGCGTGATATAATTAATTTAACATGATTTAAATTAAATTTGAAGCTAGATAAATTGTTGGACAAGTAACCAAAAGAGATAGTAAAGTATAAAATACTTATATGTTATATGGCTTACATACGACGTTTTGCATGTGCCTTTTGGCTTCACTTAGCTCTACTACTAATGGTACTAGTATTACTAATAGAAATACTTGAAGTATTAATATAATACTATAATATTAATAGTAGTACTATTGAGTAGAACTGATAAGTACATTTTATCAACCATAGCGTTAATATTATTAATAATAATTAAAGCCATACCTCAGATGAAGCTGCTAAGTAATTACACGGAATAAAGTTAAAAACTAAGAAAGAAAATAATTATGTTTAGATTTTATTCCAATCCAAGTTCCAACACTCCCACTGCCTCAGTGAACTTTGTTTTTACAAATTACTTTTATAATATAATATCTGATACAAAGTTTGTAGTACTACTACTAGTAAAATTAATACTAACAAGTATTACTCAATGGTAAATGTAGACTGACCTTTTTCATTAATAATTTGAATGTTCAAATGATAAAACTTAAACTTTCAATTAAATTTTGTCTTGTTTTGTTTTGTTAGTGTACTGAAAATGAATGTATGAGCTTGGTTGACAAACCATTTAAGTTATTTTGTATTCTGAAAATATATCTATATCATTTTTAGTTTGAACTGCAGAATCTACAAAATGAAATGTTTATTTGTTTTTTCACAATATTAAAATTTAAATCTGATACTCATTGTTTTTTTTCTTCAGTGTTCAGGTGGCTTTACATTTTTTACTACTAACTATACAGATTTATCAGCAACTTTCATGGTGAAATGGCCAGAGCTGCTTCTAAACTCTCAAAGTCTAAGAATGTAAGTATGCATACCTGTTTTTCGCAAACAAAATATTAATATGTAGGTCAGCTGTGTTGATAAATAATGTCCTATTCTGTATATTTTTTACATTTTAAGTCAGGTTAATGTATTAATGATTTTTATAAAGGACTCATTTTTTAATCTATTAAACTTTGAAAGCAGATAAAAATTATTTTCAGTTAGGTCTTTGTATAGGTGACATGTCAATCAAGTACTTGAAAATAGATGTGGGAATTTCAAAGTTTTGAAGTAAAATATCCGATTTTATGGCAACTTGTAGATGCAGGCACTGATTAAAAAGGTGTAATTTCTTTTTATCTGACTTAATGCTGTGCTAAATAGATAAACATTAATTTTAATTTATTGTATAACCAGTAATTTTCATATAATCTAAAGCAATAAGTGTGCTTCTAGCAACTTAATATAAATGATTATGGGAAAGCAACTCATTTGCTATAATTTCCATGGAGTAACATTGTAATTTTAGTAACTCTCCAATCTTCATGTACCTACCCACTTTCTACTAACCTAATAAAATAAGAGGCATATTTCCTTTTTGATTTCGTTTAAAACTCTGGGATTAACATTATTTGGTCCTGGTGATTTATCTGTAACTAATCTCTCAAACGTTTTACTGATCATCAACAAATTAAAATATTCTTACTTACCATTAATGGATTAATACCTACATGACTGAAGTCAATTCCAGTATTTTGCATAGAATGCAGAGGGTCAGGAATATTATTAACATCCTCTCTAGTAAAGATAGGAAAGAAGAAAGTTAAAAGTTTAGCTATCTCATAGTCTCCAACAAAAATTTGCCATCATCATCATCATCCATTAAGAGCCCAGTTCCTATTTTAACAACTTGCTTACCTTTAATATACTTAAAAATACCCTTGCCATTAGTTTTAACATTATTAGCCAGCTCTTTATTTTAAACCCTTTTAGATTTCCTAAACTATATTTTAAACAGATCCCTGGTTGTCCTGTATTGCTTATCTGTCAACTTAAAATTCTCAAGCTTGTGGTACTGTGCCCTGATTTGTTTCCTTTGTTTTAATTAAACTAATAACATTTGATTCCTGATCTTCCTTCTTTTAAGAATTTGCCTAACTTGATTTAAAAGCCATTAAATTTTAAAAAATTCACTGCACCTGCTAACTCATTATACCAATTCTTGAATTATTTTATCTTCTGGCCTCAACATTGGGCCTCTTGAAAATTAGGAGCTAAATATTTATTTTTTATCTCAACATGTAGCAAAACATCAAATTCAGTTATGCAGTGATCAATCCTCCACAAACCTTCCTCTACTTCAATTCTGATATACATACATACACATACTTTAAGTACGAAAAGAGACTTGTTGCCCCATCTAGGCTGTCCTATCAACTAAATTAAACCAAACATTAAAAAATCAAAGCCAGCCCTTATCATTGAAATATCTATTAAGGTTTCTCTTAACCCTTTTTCAACAGACAGGTCAAAGGGTGCATGTCACAACATTTTAGAGAGTTATTTTCAAAATATAATTAAGTTTATTATCATTGTATGTCAATAAACTTGGCTTCACATTGTAGTTTATAATCCGAATTTTAATATCATATGTCTTAATTTGAAAGAAAATATTAAAAATAAATGTCAAATATGCTTTTTTGTGTATCATATTGCATGTTTTATTGTTCAGTTTATATTTTGTTATGCCTACCATACAATGTCTATAGTGGTTAATAAATTAGAAACTCAAACTTCAGACATTTACAAGGTAGAATATAAAATATGATCCTTCTACCTTATTGATTTACTGAGATATCAGTATAATTTGCAAAGTTATGAGGGTAGTCCTACCCACTACTATATTCTTTTGAAACCTCTTGTCTACTCATGCCTACTTTTATTAAGTAAATGTTTATAACCAAGAGAAAGAGCAAATTCCAAATTATGTAAATCTGACAGTTGTTTGTAATTAGCTTTATCCCAATAAAATGTTATATTCTTTGCCTGTCTAAGCATTGGTATGAATTCTACCTTGCTTGCTCCAGTCTTTATACCCCATTATATCACCCCCTAGCGATTCTAATCTTGGGACTCTTTCCACCTACGTCAATGCACCCTTTATACCTGATCTGTATATAAGCTCCCTGTTATTCTTTCTTATTCAGTTTTTCTTGATGGCAAAAATTACAAAGACAGTCTTACATGTTTCTCTTCAGCACTATTACTACATTTGCAACTTTTCTTTTGAATTATTTTAGATCTTTTTCATGGGGCTTGAGTTCATTGTTTATTTTCTTGATTTTATAATAAAAATTTTGGAGACGTCTTTCGTATATGAATACTCACGTTCATGTCTCAGACATGGACTCTCCTGATGCCTCTCTTTGACCCCTCAGTAGTCTAATGTTACCTGGACATCAGGCGAGTACCTTCTGCAGAGGACATACAATTCCTTATATACAAAGAGGTAGAGTCTTACATGCGGTCTGATGCTTTTTCTTCTGTTGGCTCTGAGGCTGAGTTTGTGGGAGATCAAAGGCAGACTAGTGAGAATTTAGACTATTTTTCCATTGCTCAGATAGATACTCATGAACCTTGGATGGACATTCTGCCTCCTGCACCCTTTTCACAACTTGTATGCCATGTTTGTAATGTTTTGAGTATTTCTCCTATGGCTTATGAATCTTCATGTTCTATATTGGGAGAAACTAGTTCGTCTGGTTACTTGGTCCTTCCACCTTTACCAGACATTGCTGTTCATGTAAGAAGATTTGCAGATTGATTGAGGGAGGGTGTTGCCATGCCTCATCTTCCTCATTTATTGGATCAGCATGCCTTGGCTTTCCATTGTTTAGAGAACCCGTATTTGGACTCTCAGAGGTTAGACCTTCTACTTCCTATTTGGGGCTCTAGACAAGATTCCATTTTTTCATCTTAATCAATCTCAGTTTCCAGAATTCATCTGTCACTTTCAACAGTTTTGAATTTTTTATCTTTGCAACTGTTGTCTGAGGCCTAACATAGATTCCCTGCTCAAATTTTAGAAGATCTTAGTCATTTATTGACTTCCACTTTGATTATGTTATCGGCTTCTACTCTCTCCTTGGTGCCTTGATTGGTTTGTTGCAGGGACCTTATGGAGAGAGATGCCTTATTGGAGAGAAATGCCTTCCTATTTCAGTCTTTAGAGATCTCAAAGAAGCTCCTTTTCTCCAACAGTCTATTATTGTGTGAATTCCAGACTCCATGGAATCTCAAGTAGATGTGGCCCATCTACATTCTTCACTTTCTAGACTTGCTTTTCGACTGCCCCACAGTTCTTCTACTGGAAAGTTTACAACATCTCCTGTTGGAGTTTCCAGACCTCCTGCTTTGGTGCCACGATCCATTGGAGCACAAGGGCAATTTCGACCTTACCAGCAGGTATCCTCCTACAGGGTGGATGCATATTTCGACGTCAGCAACTACTTTATGAAGTCGGGTCCTGTGGGGTATCGTCTCAGAGGATTCGTGTCAGTATGAAAGATGTTCACCACAGATCAGTGGGTCATGGAAGTTCTCAGAAGCAGATTGGTCATTTAGTTCATGTCTCCTCCTCCTTCTGTTGATCATACTTGTTAGTTTTACACTCCCTAAGGACCTTCTTACTCCCAACTGTTGAGCATAAGCCATCCAGGATTATTTTTACAAAGAAGCCATAGAGTGCATCACCTCCTGTCTCTTGAGGGTTTTTAATCTTGGCTGTTTGTAGTCCCAAAAAAGATGGGCAATTGGCAACCGGTCATTGACCTTTCTCATTTCAATCATTTTCTCCAGCCTCCTCAGTTTACAATAAGTTGTTCCTTTCCCTTTGGTGGCTCTTTTTACCCAGCCTATGGATGACAAAATTTGATATTGTAGATGTCTACCTTCATATCCCAATCATCGAGTCTTCAAGGTATTATCTCCATTTCATGCACGATAACCAGGTTTTTCAGTTTCATGCTCTACCATTTGGCCTCATATCTGCTCCATATGTTTTTGGCTGAATAGTCAAAGCTTTTTCACATCATCTTCAGTCACTTGGCATTCAAACTCATTATTACATGGATGACTGGTTTATTCTTGCCTCTTCCCACCATTTGGCAGAATTGCACAATCACGTTCTGTTATCAGATGCTGAGTTTATTATCAAAAAGAAGTTCATTTTTACTCCCACATAGTACCTCATCCATTTAGGGTTGTTTTTTCCATTCCAGACTAAGCCAGGTCCAACCTTTTCATCTACACCATCAGGCCATGGAACGGGTGGTTCTTCAAATACAATGTCTCCTTCTCCACCAGCATGCACAGATCTATTTCTTTTGGGGATGTGGGCATCCTTGGAATCACACATTCCTTTAGGACGGGTCCACATGAGGGTTCTTCAATGGACATTTCTGGACCAGTAGAACATTTGCACGGATGCACTGGATTGTCCAGTGAGACTGTTGGATTCCAGTTTGCTGGATCTAAGCTGGTGGTTGAACAGAGACAACACAACAATAGGTGTCCCTCTACCACCTCCAAGACCAGAGATAATCTATTCACAGATGCTTCTCTTTAGGGCTGGAGTACTTGTATAGACAATATGGAATTCAAGTGTCTTTTAGACAGTAGAAGAAGCTTTTCTTCACATTAATCTCTTAGAAGTTTTAGCAGTTCAACGAGCTACGACTCAAGGTCTTGATTTGTTGCGAGGGAAGATGGTAATGCTTCATTTGGACAATTCCATAGTAGTCTCATACATTTGAAAGCAAGGAGGCACTTACTTCAGATCTCTTTGTTTTGAACAGTGGATCTTCTCCTTTGGTCACAAAAACACCAGATTGCTTGTCATGTTCCAGGGGTAACGAATCAAGTGGCGGACCACTTAATTTGTCCCAACAGAACTCTTCCTATGGAATATATGCTTCATCCTTAAGTTTTTCATTGGATCTGCTCTTGTCTAGGGACATCACAGATCAAGGCTTTCGCTA